GTGTCAGCGGGCTGATGTGCGTGTCAGCGGGCTGATGTGCGTGTCAGCGGGCTGATTTGAGGGTCAGTGTGCTGATGTGCGTGTCAGCGGTCTGATTTGTGTGTCAATGTGCTGATGTGTGTGTCCCTGCAGGGGCTGGAGATTATTTTCCGTGTGGGGATGGCCATTCTACAGAACAACCAGACTGACCTCATTCAGCTGGACATGGAGGGAATGTCCCAGGTACAGGTCCCTGAGACCACTGAGAAACACACTGAGCTCTGGCTCCTTTATCTTCATCGTCTCCTAGTCCTTTTCTTACTGTTATTAATCCGCCTTTTGGGTGGCTGTTGGTGGTGTGGCGACATCTCTGGATTTTGAGGGTCTAATCTCTCTCATGTGTCTCCCCAGCACTTCCAGAAGGTCATCCCCCACCAGTTCGACAACTGGCCCGACAAGCTCATCCTGAGGGCCTACCAGGTCAAATACAACCCCAAGAGGATGAAAAAGTATGCAGAAAACAGCACAGCAGCACAGCATGATACAGGGCCACACGGCTTAGCACACAGGACATTAGAGTGGTAACAAACGAGAGGAGGCCTTTCAGTAGCTCATTGTTCCCAGGATCTCAGCCAGCCATGTCTTGAGAGAAGTCAGGGTTAGCCAGGACAGTTTCTTACAGACTCACACAAACTGGTAGTTGAAATGCACAGACCAGGGCAGCACAGCACAGGGAACAAACAGAGCACAACACAGCATAGGGTAACATCACAGGGCAGCAAAACACAGTGCAGCAACATAGGGCAACAACACAGGGCAACGCAACATAGGGCAACAACAGAGCAAAACAGTGCAACAACACAAGGCAACACAGCACAGGGTAACACCAGAGCACAACACAGCAAAGGGTAACAGCATAGCACAGGGCATCAACAGAGCACAACACAACATAATGTAGGACAGAACTCTTTAGTTTGATAAAGTGCAACTCTGTACACTTTATAGCAGCACAAACTGCACATATACTGATTTATCTCATACAGGAAAGCACAGGATGGTATTGTACAGCATATTTCAGGACTAGCTGCTGAGTTTTGTGTGTGTGGTTGTGTAAGTTTGCGTGCCAGGCACTTCCTTGTGTCCACTGTAGTGAAGTTTCATTGTTCCTTGCCCTTTCACACATGGAGAGGGAGATAGTGCAGTCTGTTTCGTGTGACAGTACTGTGCTGTCACTGAGCACAGGGAGCTGTGCTAAGGCTGTGTCCTGTGTCCCCAGGCTAGAGAAGGAGTACACCACCATCAAGAACAAAGAGATGGAGGAGCAGATAGAGATCAAGGTGACTGTTTCTGTCTTTATTTTGTAAATTGTACCTCAGGGCCTGCATGAGCAGCGTAAATGGAGATCACCTGTGTTATACACAGTGGGAAGCCTCCACGCAGCACTGGGTCTGGAAAAGTTTGTGGTTCAGTCAAGACCTGACTGCTTGTGTTTTCTGAGAAAAGAGTGAGTAATTCAGCATAAACCTGAAAAGAGTGAGTAATTCAGCATAAACCTGAAAAGAGTGAGTAATTCAGTGTTGTGAGAAAGTCTCTCAGGTTTGCTGTTGAAATTGAAGAAATACACTATGATACGGATGCAGGTACTGTATAATACAGGAGCTGCTTGCAGAAATCGGTTGGAGTGAAACAGTGTAAGAAAAGGAGCATGGCCACACTGCAGCAGGGTACAGTCAATAGGTGTGAAGCAGGCACAGAGTATAGGACAGACAGGTGAGTCCAGTGCAGTGGAGTAAAGTCAGGTGGGCTGTAGCTGTGTGTGTCAGAGACTCACCCCCAGACCCTATGATCTTCCCCCACAGAGGCTGCGCACGGAGAACCGACTCCTGAAGCAGAGGATTGAGACCCTGGAGAAGGTGGGAGAACTGGACATGCACAACCTTTCTTTGTGGGGAGAAGAGATGCCTTTACTGTCCTTTAAAATAAGTGAATGCACTTTTGGCATCTGACAACATTTTACACTTTTCTTCTTGAGATGGTGACAGAAAAGGATGGAGACAGCCGGTGACTTGGCGTCCTGTGATGTCAGAATCCTCTCTGGTGGTAGAGCCCATTAGTGCCAGAGCTCCCTGATGTCAGAGCACATTAATGTCAGAGCCATCTGGCCAGAGGTCCCTAGTGCGTGAGTCCCCTGGTGCTAAAGATCCCTGGTGTCAGAGATCCCTACTGGTGAAACCCCTGGTGCCACACATTCCTAGTTCCAGACCCACCTGGTGTCAAAGATCCTTATTGCCAGAAGCCCCAGGTGTTGGAGATTCCTGGTGTCAGATCCCCCTGACATCAGAGCCCATTAGTCCCAGAGTCCATCAGAACCAGAGCTCCCTGTTGTCGGATCCCCCTTGTATCAGAGCCCGTTAGAACCAGAGCCCCCTGGTGTCAGAGTCCCGTTAGTCCCAGAATCCATCAGAACCAGAGCCCCCTGGTGTCAGATCCCCCTGGCATCAGTGCCTGTCAGTGTCAGAAGCTATCAGTGCCAGAGTTCCCACTGTCTGTTAATTGTGTCCCGGGTCAGGTCTTTAGCCTGTGTGTGTCAGTACTGTAGATTAGTGAGCTGGGCTGTAGACTTAGTGTCTCTGGCTGCACAACTGACTTTTCCTCTGCTTTCAAAGCCTAGTTTCCAGTTGTCCCTGTTTTATGCCTTTTCCCTTCCTTTTCCCTCTCTTGTTTTTTGTTCTTTCTCCTCTCTCCTCTCCCATCTCATTTTTTTCTCCTCTGGTTTTCTCGTCTTTCTTGAATCTCTCCTGTCCTCCCTCTATCTGGGCACACTCTCTGCTGACCTTTACTTCCTGTCTTTCTTGTCGCTGTCTCTCTGTGTTACGCCACCTCTCTCTCGCTCCCTCCGTCTCTCTGCGACGCTGTAGGAGAGTGCCGCTTTGGCAGACAGACTGATCCAGGTACCGTATTTAAACAACATCCCCTCCATCCCTCCCCCTTCCCCCCGTCTCCTTGCACACAGATAACACAGCCTCCTCACTCCTGCATGAGAGACTGCCTGTCTGTCCACCTGTCCACCATTTGCCCATCTGTCTGTCCAAGGCTGGGATGAATGAGGTGAATGAGGACCGACGGCTCAGCTGCTGATATGTGCTAAAATTGCCAAGATGGCCAGTGTTAACAGAATAGGCCCTTATTGTGGTGAAAATAACAGCAGCCATATCACCGTGCAACTCACTGGCAACCCACTGAAGCGAAGCAGGTGTGAGTCTGGTTAGTACCTGAATTGGGAGACCTCCTGGGAAAGCTAAGGCTGCTGCTGGAAGAGGTGTTAATGGGACTCGTAGGGAGTGCTCTCCCTGCAGTCTGTATGGGTCCTAATCCCCCAGTATAGTGATTATATATACAGTATTTATACTGTACAAAAGTGCTGTCCTTCAAAAGAGATGTAAAACCAAGGTCCTGACCCTCTGTGGTCATTAGAAATCCCAAGGCATTACTCAAAAATAGTAATCCTGGTGTTCTGGCCAAATTTCCCCCTGGTCTTTACCCATCTTGGCCTCCTAATAATCACCCATCTATGAATTGACTTCATCACTCCTTTCTCCTCTCCACTGATAGCTGGTGTGTGGTGAGCGTTCTGGTGCGCTATGGATGCAACACATCATCCAGGTGGGGCTACACATTGGTGATGGTGGAGGGGAGTCCCTATTACCTGTTAAATGCTTTGAGTGGAGAGTCCAGAAAGGTGCTATAGAAACATAAGATATTATTATTATTATTTACCTCCTTGTTAGAGAATTTTGCCCTTTGTCGAAGTGATAAGGGAGAAATTATTCCAGTTCCAGCCTGACAGACTGATGGGTCCACTTACTCCACTAGTAACTGCCCTGCCTGCTCGCTGTGTTGTGCTGTGCTATGCTGTCCGGGGAGCAGAGGGAGGGGAGAAGGTGTGTCAGATCCTCATTTTCTGTGTTTGCGATAGCCGTAATGTTCAGTAGGGGGTCCTGTGTTCACTGCTGAAGTCCACTGTGCGAGTTCTTCAGAGGTAGAGTGTGTGGCATCTTTGTGCTATGAGCTGCTGTGGGTTTGGTACCCTGTTTAAAGGCCACAAGGTGGCGTCTCGAGCTCCCATTCACATTCTATCATCTGAGTGCAGCTGTAGCAGGATCCTAGTCTGAGATGAGCCCCCACAGCATAATCCAGGGTCCCAGTCCAGGATGAGCCCCTGCAGCCCAGAGATCACAGCTGGGGTCCCAGTCCAGGATAAGCCCCCACATCCCAGACTGGGGTTAAAATCCGAATTGGTCCCCCAAAGCCTGAAGATCACAGCTAGGGTCCTGGTCTAGAATGAGCCTCCAGTGTTTCAGGCTGGGCTCTGGCTCACTCACTGTGGCAAGGTTGCCTCTCCCCTCACGTACAGCTGATCTCAAGGAAGACACAGACTGGGATACACAAAGACAGCACCAGTCTGGAGCCTATGCAGTCAGGGCTACAGTGCACCCTGTTGTGTGCTGGGGCTTTAATTGTCTCCTCTCTCCCCTTTCCTCTGCACTTTGCTCTTTTTCTGTCTCCCACTCTCCCTCTGTCCGCCTGACCCACCTCTTCCTCTGTCCTCTCCCACTCAGGGTCAGGTCACGCGAGCTCTGGAGGCAGAGGAGAACTATGTGATCAAGAGGGAGTTGGCAGTGGTGCGGCAGCAGTGCAGCACAGCCAGCGAGAGCCTGGAGAGAGCGCAGGACACCATCAGGGAGCTGCAGCAGCACCAGGTACTTCACACAGGGCACAGTAATGACAATCATAGACACACAAATGGGAAGAGCAGCACACAGTCAGGCCAGACAGCAGGAGGAGCCAGCGAGAGGCCGCCAGGGACAGTTTACTGTTACAATTACTGCTGCTGCTGGTTTTGAGCTCGGTGATAATGTTATCTGTAATAATTTTGGGTGTCAAGAGAGAGAGAGATGGGAACAGAGAAAAGCAGTGAAAGAGAAGGAGAGAGAGGGAAGGTGAGGCAGGCGTGAGAGAGGGGGGGAAGAGTGAGAGAGCATGCTCTGGGTCTGAGATTGCACCTCTGGAGGGGCTGAAGTTGTTCTTTTGTACCAACGATGAGAGCGCCCAACCGCCTCTCGCACCCCGCCCTATCTCAGGCACATTACGCTGAAAATAGCAGCACAGATCAGGCCTGGAAACTCCCAGCACTGTCAGGTCCTGCAGCTATTTTGGGGTCTACTAGACTCTTCATGCCTCCTTCAGGCTGCACGGATATTGTGCAGCCCGCCGTGATGCCCTCCGCACCCCTCAGCTCACATGGTCAGAGATCCCAGCCAGCCACCACATGCAAGAGGCTGAATCTGAGCTGAAAAACACTTCCTGCAGTTCTTGTCTACCAAACCCACAACTGCCGACAGAACACCAGCATCTATCTCAATAGAGCCCGTGAAGCGAGGAGATTCACTTATTTATCAAGAGTAATGAAGGCTGTTTCCTGAAGCACCCTGGTTCATCAGAAAGCAGCTTTTCTGAGTGTATTGAAAAGTCACTTACACCAGCAAGAGGAGCAAGATATCCTAGCATTTTTTTTCCATTTTACGAGCAGTGCTAATGTCTGTAATGGTATTTAAAATATAAGTGAAAATATACTGCTCTCCGCACTGTTATTGTTTAAAAAAAGAGTGCAGAATAAGCCCTCTGTCTCCAAAGCCAAACGGGAATCTTCTTCCAGGTCCAGGATTTATGTTGGGACTCTTCCGTGGCCGTAGAGGAGGTAGTGTAGGCCCGACTGAGGCATCTAGATGATTTTCCACTCTGAATACAGAACTTGGGCCTCTCCCGAGTGCTACTGTTTTCGTGTTTCTCCAGAACGCTGGGCGTTGGGTCTTATTAAAAGAGCTGAGAAGCTGGTCAAAGGAGAGGTGCTGGCAGGTGGAAAGACACATCACTCTTGGCGCAAGCTGCTGTCCGGCTGCGCTTGTTCTCTGACGAATTAACGTTCTGACTTCCTGGCAGGGAGCGCGCTGTGAGAACGAGCACGGTGGGAGGGCAGGTGTGAGGTGTCTGCAGTGCTGTGTGGTTTGTGTGCTGAGATGGTACGAGATCTGGTCACAGGTTAGCGCTGGCTGTGCTGCAGCATTTATTTGCTCAGAGAGAGTGCACGTCAGTGTGTCCCAGTTTGTGTATCTGTGTGTCTTGATGTGTATTTCTCGTTGTGTGTGTGTGTACATGTGTCTCAGAATGTGTGTCTGTGTGTCTCAGACCGTGTCCGTCTGTGTCATGGTGTCTGTGTGTGTATCTGTGTGTCTTGGTGTTAATGTATATGTGTGTCTCGGTGCATGTGTGTCTGTGTGATTTTACTTCTGTGTATCTGTTGGTATGTAGGCAGCTCGTGCTTGTTTGTGCTCGCTGTGTTGCCCAGTTTGTGTATGCGCACACACGGGTGAGAGAGAGGTCTCGCCCTCCTCAGCTGCAGTCTCAGCAGTGTGCTGAGCAGTGTACTCGCTGTGCTCTTTCAAAAGAAGCCCCAGCTGGCCGGGGGGCCCACTCTGTGGCTCGTCAGGTTTAACGGGCCGACAGGCAGGTGTGCTGGCACCGTCGCTCCTATCTGGGTCAGTGCCAGTCACCTGGCGGAGCGCGGTGTGGCCCTGGCGCGCTGCATGGCGCTCCTCACTTGTGTGTGTGCCTGCCTTCCCTCCACGGGACTTCCTCCTGCTCCAGGTGCCACAAGCCGCCATGTTGTGCTGCTGGTTTAAAGAGCTCAGAGCTCTTTGTCTCATGATCACTGTTGTTCAGTTAAAAGCTGGTGGGGTTCCCGAGAGCCTCAGTGAGTAAAGGCACATGTCCAACCCTATGGTCCCGACACTGCTAGTTCCCGTTTGTGTTTAGGTCACTGGCCCTCTGCAGGGGTGCCTTAGGGACTGGTTAACCCAGACAGTCATTCTGTGCCCAAACCTCTTTCTCTGGGCACTGCCCTCTTGGGACCTTGAACTCTGTCTTATGATCGACAAAATGCTGGCCCTTCTGCAACCTGGGAGTGTCCTGTCACTCTCCAGCCATGGCTTTAGTACGGCGAACGCTTGAAGGTGAACTGGTTGATGTTCACCAGTGCGGATAGGAGGGAAAGCTCTCCTCTTAGAATCCCTGGCTGCACCCCTGGCCAGTTGTGACAGCTGTTACCCAAAACATAGCCATCAGCTGGCTGCGGACCTATGAAGCTTGGTGGGCCTTAGCTGAGACCGTGGGCCCGCTGTGCCAGTCCCCGCCCACCCTTGTCCTTCAGTGAGAGTGGCACCAACAGCAGAGCAAGGCTGGCACAGCATGAAGGTTGTAGTGGCATTGAAAAGTGATTGAGGGGGAGGAGGGCATGAAAAACGAAGAATAAAAGGCAAATGTAAATTTGGGAGGTCAGCGTAATGACACTGATTGCCTAGCTCTCGGTCACGAGATCATAGGTTCAGGCTTCGGTGGTGCTGTGCTGGAGCTTGAGCTTGGCTCTAGTTCCTACCCCGAGGTAAGGTGAGTCTGCACCGGAGCCTCAGTATGATTCTTCAGGGAAACCAGAGGCAACAGGATGAAAAAAATGCAGATAAAAGCATGAGGCAGCTGCGAAATACAGTTACCAGTCTTTTCTTCTCAGCTTGTCCGCCATTTTTTGTTATCTGATGAGAAAGAAGCCTGTAAGAGCAGCTGCGTGCTTGTGTGTGAGAGCGCATCAGTATATGGGACTACAATTACCATTGTGTGTATGGGAGATTTCTTCAGTATTTGTGTCTGCAATTAGCGTTGTGTTTGTGAGAGACGGCTTCAGTGTGTGTGACTGCAATTACCTGAGTGAGCTTCAGTGTGTGTGACTGAAATAACTATTTCCAGTGCCTATGGGTGATGATTTTGTCTGTGTATTCTATTGTGAATTAGTTTTATTGGAATGAGTTTGCATTAGTATATGAGTGGGTAGGGTTACAGCAATGAGTGTGTATTAGCATGTGAGAGTCTTTGTTAGAGTATGAATCTCTGAGGGTGTCAGCACGCCTAAGTGCATGTGTCTTAGTTTGTGTATTTTAATGGTACAACAATGAGTATAAGTTAGCCTGTGTGTGTCTTGGTTTGTCTTTTGTATGAGTGTGCAGATGTGACTGTATCACTGAACCCCATATGAGAAAGTGTCTGGCATGACTAAGAAAGTAACTCCTCATATACTGGCTCTGGGAGGACAAGGCAAGTGGCTCATGTATTATTAAGGGAAAAAAAAAATCCAAACCTACATGGCCCTGTGTGAAAAAGTGATTGCCCCCCCTGTTAAAACATAAATCAACTGTGGTTTATCACATCTTTGGAAAGCTGAGTTCAATTTCTCTAGCCACACCCAGGGCTGATTACTGCCACACCTGTTCTCAATCAAGACATCACTTAAATAGGACCTGCCTGACAATGTGAAGTAGACCAAAAGATCCTCAAAAGCTAGACATCATGCTGCGATCCAA